CTAAGTACGCTGTTCATAAAATTTGTTCCTATTTATCCTCATCAAAGAGGATTATTCTAACGATCGAAGTTGTTATTGTATTTTGCAAATTTGACGAACTCGTAAAATTGAATCAATTAGAAATGTTTGCAAAAAGAAAAATGAATTATTCGTTTCACGCTTAATATTATGGAAGGTGATTAAGGTAATTTCATAAATGGAACGAATCGGTTAAATTGCACGCGTTATCTGACGATCTAACGTTTCGATATCTCGCGGAATCTGAAAGTCGTGGAAAAGCGAGCTAGGTCGAGGTTACAGGAAAGATTTATCACTCGAACCACCACGTCCACCGCAGAAGATGAATTCCTGCTTTGTCGCGAGTCGCGTGACGGCCGTGCTTTCTATCGCAATCTTTTAAAATAGCAAATAACGAGACGGTTCTTCTCTAAAATACACGACGATACCATATTACCATGGAAATTAGCATCATTATCAAAAGTGCATTTCGCAAACGAATTGTATCAACAATAAAAATCGTCGCGGTTACGTGTCGTTATGCAACGAATTCCGTGCGTGTGTTTTTACGAGTCAAAAAGCGGATCATTAAATTCTGCAATTTGATTACGCAACACGAGAGAACAAGTTTTGCAAACTTCTATCAATTACGTTAATTTACGATAAGTAAACAATCCTTTTTCGTATTCTACAATCACGACCCACGGTTGTTTGTTCCTGACGTAAATTAGCCGGCAATCAAAGTCGACCGAATTATTGTTACGAAACGAGGCTGCTGGTTTTGCTTGAAAAAGAAAAATAACAAGTAATTTCGATTACTTTCGCGGAAAGAAACAGAAGGATATAACCCGTTCCCTATGAAATATTTATTATCTGGCCAAGTTCTGCGATGTGTAACAAATTATTACGTTTCTCTTGAAAACACTGACAACAGAGATGTTATATAGGGAGTTGCATAAATGTTCGTGTAATTTCCAACAATTTCCTGGTACATGTGCGAAAATATTTTTAACGATGAGACGACTGTTAGTCATCCATATGGTGGTATTTAAAACGCTTCGGCCTTGACTTTGAGTCATCAACTAATTCCGTGTTAAATTTAAAACAAAAAATCACCGAGGATTAAGATTCCCGCGTTTTCTCTTAATCCGGCTTAACAAAATATCTTCGATATTTTCAGCTAATTTCGAAGATTGACAGCGTAAGGGAATGGATAAAATATTCCCGTGGAGCGTGTAAAGGAAAAATGAAGTGAAAAGAAGGCGCAAGGTTGCAAAGGGTAAGAAGAGGTCGGTGCAGAAGAATCTCGTTGGCCGAGGGAACAATGGCGAGTGCACTTTTGCCTTGGCTCGTACACGCCGGCCCATTCCTAAGATTAATTTCACAATAATTACTTCCTACGTGAGGCTGGAATGTTGGAAACGAGCCAACCTTCTTACATTATATTTTATCGTAAACGTCACTCGTTTCACCAGGGAAAATTATAGCTCGCGCCAGCTGTAACGCATAGTTAACCATGTAATTACAAACTTTTGTTCAGTCTCCACTTTGATGAATTTTACATTACTTGTTTCTATGAATGTACAATTTATTTTGTACTTTCGGCTTACTTAATGCGTTGCAAGTACTAACCGAGAGTTGACGTAGCCACCACGTTCGCTGGCAAGGATTTTTTCCATTGATTTTCATCTCCAATAAAACGTCTGCCTTCAGGAGCACAGGTACTGCAAGGTCTACGTATAGCAGCGAACGTGTCGAGTTAATTTATGGAGTACTTAACGAGTCCAATCCGTAACTCGTGTACTCGTGTTTAAATGCGAAAACAAGTCGAAGCCGTTATAACTATCCGCAGGATAATAGATACTTTTCCAAGGCAAAACGGATACCTCGGCTATTTCCTAGCTTGGACATGCGCGAAATGAATAAATAGACGATATATCGGAGCGAGTTAAGACACGTTCTCGTTGCGAACGCGATCACGTCGGTATCGGTTCAAAGCTCTGGCAAAACCTTAACGATAACCTCACCTACGGAATCTAGTTTCGAACGTGGTGTAACCAGTTTTGTCGGTTAATTAATGCTGCAAAACTGGTAGTGTTTCGAAGCGTACGAAACACCCATTTATCTCGTTCGTTGCACCCTGCTGCATTTAACGCCAATAAATTATTGCTTGCTAATTTTTTTTTTTTTTTAATTCTTTCCTTATAATTACGAGTTCGTTTTCCTCGGACTACGGAAACCGATCAACGTTCTATCGATCGGCAATTAAATTAACTTTCGATCAGGCGAAAGATTCGAGAGAGGAAATCTCGTGATACAGAGGTATTCAAAAGAGGCGGAAGGAAGGAATTGTTCGTTTTCAAGATCGACTGATCAATTTGGTTACGAAAGTGAAAACGGGTTTTGCGATTGAATTCCGCCACTCGATGCGGTTCAATTAAAATACCTGGATAAGAAGAAGGCCGATACACGACAAGGGAGAGAAAGTTCATTCACCAGGTATTCAATGAGGCACAGTGGTTCGCAATTGCCGTGGAATAAGATGTAAAAAGGCGTAAACCCGAGAGTTTCGTCATTTTTATCGACGTTCACGCGGAACGATTTTTCCTTATTAAACGACCGAGATATTCGTTTCGTTTTCACAGTTGAAGGAGCACGCAGGCGTGGCGCATATGCGCGTACTTACATATATTAATAAATAAATATACAGGGTGTTTTTTCAAATAGACGAGTGAACTTTAACAGCGCGTTCTATTTACAAGGAAGGGTCTCGAATGATCCTGCACCGATTTGGACGAAGCTTTGTACGCTTGTAAAACGTTCAAAAATAATAAACACATCATTTTTTTTTAGCTTAAATTCGAGGGGGTATTTTCTAGCATAGACACCCGTTTTCGGTGTGATTTTTGGGAATTAAAAAAATTCTTTGAAGGTACAAAATACAAATCGCTATTTCGATAATAGATAAGAATCTTCTCTACAAAAATCATGACGATATTATCTTCTCAGTAAATACACTATAAATACACTGGAAACTTAGACGGTGGTTGTTACCCCTACGCAAGATGAAGAAACGCGAATTTCACGAGACGAAGATCGAATTTCAATAACGCGAACACGATTCGATATCGTGCACACGGAATAGGAAAACTATTCGAATAAAATCACTCACTGGTCGGTCGAAGAGGATCCTCGCACAGCCAGGAAAGATCCTCGTTCAGGGAAGAAGAAAAAAAAAATGAGACAAGACACTCGGAAGAATCGCGTTGCGAACGGTCTCGCAGGGAGAAAAATGTTCAAAGCACGAGCGTAAACATCGAACTGAAGCTGCCAGGCAAGCTGCACCACACAGCCGACAACACAACACACTGGACCCGACCTTAATAAGCTGCTTTCACACTGAACGCTCCGCACCGACTGCCTGTTCCTCGAGGATACATTTCGAGCGATTTCAACCTGTACCCGAAGGTTTGCTTCCTGATTTGTCGTTTCGAAGACTAATCTCTTTGCATCGTGCAGAGACCAGATTTCCAAGTCGTTTTTATTATCAATAATTTTAATGCATGTCTATTCACGTACCGAGTTCCTTGACTCCAATTCAACCACCCCGAACATTGTTCTTTTTAATTAAAATCAATTTTTCCACGGAATAATTAACGGAAAGCCGATTAAACGTTTATCGAACGATCGTTCGCGGCTCTGTTTCCCGAGTCCATAATTACACCGGCCCCCGAAATAGCAGGTTTCTCGTCAATATTTTAACACACCCGGTCAATGGCCCTGTTCGAGTAATGCAAGTACATCTGGAGTAAATTTCCTCGTTGATTGGTTCACCTTCCTCGATCGAACTCTATTTTATCCGCTATTGACGACGGTAGTAATTTTACACCAGGGATTGGTAGGTTGCTTGAAACAAATGTTCTAACGATAAATATAAACGAACAGGTCGTTAAGATCACGGGAAAGTTTTGTTTTATTTTTGTAAGAAAAGAGAAACTGGCAATTTGCGGTCTATTCTTCCCTGGAAATCGTTAAATATTTATTTGAAACACTTGTTTTCGTTGAATTATCGAAGGGGATGAAATATAGCGAAAGAATAAATGGTATTCGGTGTGAACGAGGCTTAAATCAAATTCCGCACAAAGGAAGGCATTCGATGGAAAAGAACCTGCAACGGACCTGGGGCCCGCATCTTCCAGGCCCGAACCTAAATCGTTTCAGGGCCCTGCGCTCGCATAATCGTGCCCAATTTCTTGGTAAACCCATCACGTTCTGAGAATAACTCATGGATCGTTAAAGAAAGATACCCTTAAATTTTGGACATAGCGTGAAGTAAACGATCAGTCTCATTGTTAGCTTTCAGTAATTTAGTTCTGAAAATTACTATTACTTATTTATTTTTAAGTTGAAATATATTTTTAACGAGCTAGGAATAAATTTTTCATTAGTTCCAAATGTTACTTCCAACTGAAGTAGTCATTTGAGAATAACCAATACTGATAACTACGCCTGTTTCGCAACATTGTTTTCTGTACAAAGTACATATTTAACTTCACGAGACAGGTTTCCCAATAAAAATTAAACTCTGCTTTTCAGATATTATAAATATAACATTATTTCTTTGACTGTCGTGAACTTGGATCTACACCGTGTCGATTATAGAGGTAATTGTTTCATGATGTGACGTCATCCGTCCTTTACCCGTTCGCATCTGATGCCCGAGTGAGAAAGCGAGACAACACCACTGGTATTTATACCGTAGTGGGGGTAGCGGTGGGAGTGGTGGGGATGACTCGACACTCACAGGGGCAATACCGTACATATGTAAATTCGAGTAAACATTTCAACATGCAAAATATGTTAATTATTCGCAAATAATGTAACAGACCACAGAAATCTGTTAAATAATTATAATCAACGAAAACTGATAGCGTTTTTCAAAGCAACAAACGCACAGGTGTGACAATACATAAAAATGATTTTAAAAAAATAATAAAACTTACCTCGTTATCATGGCGCCCCGACGAAGGCACTTTGTCGGCGAGTTCTTTGAGAAAATGCTCGCTGCTCATGCGATTTGGAACATCAGGCTGATCGACAGTCTCGACTACCTTCACGTTGTCCGAAACTCGAATCGAATCAGACGAGGTGCTTCCCTGGCTGGACAAATCTCCTCGTTCCATCTTTCGATTTTCCCGGTCTTTTTTTAAAAATTCCGGTTCGCTGGAACACTTCTCGAAACTGGATGCTCCTTGAGCGACTATCGGTAAATTCGGCGTTGATTTCGAGAATTCAATTTCGGTTTTCACATTTTCCTCGCTTCTGTCGCGTATTCGCGGTGGATCTTGGTCGCGAAACGCTCTGCGTTGACCCTTCACTATTTCGCACATTTCGCTTCCCTTCTTTCAACGAAGACCAACCGAATCTTTCAAATCAGTCGAATTTTGGGGGTTCAGCATCATTCTTCGATCATTCGTCTCGATAACCTTTAAAATCACGAGTTACAGCAGTTATTGATCATTTTCGGTGTTAATTTTGCTAGGTTTCAGCGTGCAGAACATTAGGGGCTCGCAGCGTTCAAATCAGCCAATCAGAAACGTGCTACTGATAACGAGATTACTTACGTTCCGACATGACAAACGTGGGAATAGAATAATAAAAAAAGGGTAATGAAAACCTTTCGTGAGATTATTCCGTTCCGAATCGCCGAAATATCGTTAGTTTCGTTGACACGAGAGATACTAACCGGTTTCGAACAAGCGTTCTCCAACGGTGAGGTTAGCTTCCTTTTGTAACACGCACTGCTTCCGCAAGGCAGAGAGACGCAAACGGTACTATTTCTCCGAGGGTTAAACGAGTCATGCGTCATACGGAAGGACATCTGTTGCCCTTTTCCCTCGGCCCCTAACGTATGCTTCATCTTCGTCTGTCGTTCACTTATTCGATTTATTTCACTATCCCTTACTTTTTCTTTCCCTCTGACGTCGCCCTTTTTGGCGGGGAATGAAAACTGTTACAACTCGCAAGGACGAATCGTCGATCGATTCGTGACGTTCAAACTTACGATTATATATCGATTAAAACTCGCTTGCGTCAATCGATTTGAAAGTTACGACGTGAATATGCATTTTTTCCAGATACCCGCGAGATGGCATAAATTTTAATCGTTGGAATCTAATGGTTCGATGAGATTCTCAAAGATGAATACCTTTGTATCTATCTAGGAACACTTTTAAACATTGTAACGAGTTAAGAAGGATTCAGCAGAAATTAAACGTGACATGTCTAATTCGTTGGCCAATAATACAGGATGACTTTTACATATTTTCAGTTAAAAATGCTGAAACTAATGTACAACGATTACGTGCTTATCTAAAGTGCATTGTAATCATATTTAACGAAGTCTGAACGCACACGCGGTATCAGAATGATTAATTTGTTTCAAGTTGAAAATGTTTTCTTTGATTTGTATAATTTTTAATAAACGTATATAAAATTAATAAATTTAACAGAATCATTTTCTTGCCATGTGAAACTCCCTTGAAATGATTTTGCAGCTTGTTGCGATAAAGTTGAAGAGGTTGATTATTTCTTGGTTTTTGAATTTGAAAATGTACAAATATCAAGAAAAGAAAAGGGTTAATGATGTTTCAGGTTGCATAACTGCTTACCAGCGCCATCAAACAGTGGAACCGTTGAACACGTAGCCCTCGATGTATCGAATTATCAGAGCTCAGACGAGTTGGACGATATTGAAATAACCGGTAGTGCTCGTTTTAACACTGCCGTAAACCTCTTCTACTTCTGACCCCTTCTGTACCGGATAGGAAAATAAATTAGAGAAAAGTTATAATGCAAGCTACTTTTTGGAGTTTAGTGACCACTTCTGTCAGGGTAAGTTTTTAAAATACCCAGCGATAAGTGTTCTCTTTAGGTAGATCAAGTTCACGTATCGGACTGTTCGTCTGAACGTCTATTTCGTAACATTTTGAAGGACAAATGATTTTGTTACACGTTATCTTGAATTATTCACAAGATACTACGTGCTATTGACCTTTCTGTCGAGCCCAAGGTTACTCAAACTTTTCGAAAAATCAAAAGCCTTTCTTAAATTTACCGTTCGATCAAAGTACACTCTGTTGCATTCGTTGGTTATATCACCGATATGTGATTCGTTGAAAACTTAAGAAAAAAATAAAAATTACTGCTTTTGAAGTTATAATCATTTTCTATTTTTTATTGTTACCAGCCAACATGTGTCAAACGTGTTGTACCTGGCTTGACAGCTGCACAGCAACGCAGGTACTCTAGCACCCTAGATGCTGATGTCGTAGTGATTGGAGGTGGTCCAGGTGGTTACGTAGCCTCCATCAAAGCAGCACAGTTGGGAATGAAAACTGTTTGCGTGGAAAAGGATGAAACGTTGGGTGGCACTTGTCTCAACGTTGGATGCATTCCCTCCAAGTCTCTTCTAAATAATTCTCATTATTATCATATGGCTCATAGTGGAGATTTAAAAAACCGTGGTGTCCTAGGTAGGTCTTCTAACTTCTTTTTTTTTTTAAGATACAACATTGCCAGTCATTATTACTTAATTTGTTTTCTTGTTCCAGTTGAAAATGTTAAGCTAGATCTTGATAAGTTGATGGAACAGAAGCGCACTGTAGTAAAAGCTTTAACCAGCGGTATTGCTGGATTATTTAAGAAAAATAAAGTTGAATGGGTTAAAGGGCATGGGAAAATTAGTGGTCAAAATCAGGTGACCGCCCTTAAACCTGATGGTTCAGTTGCAAGCACAATTAACACCAAAAACATTATAATTGCAACTGGCAGCGAAGTTACGCCGTTCCCCGGTATAGAAATCGATGAAAAACAAGTTGTCTCTTCAACCGGTGCTTTGTCGCTAAGCCAGGTACCTAAGAGACTCATAGTCATTGGTGCTGGAGTTATTGGTCTGGAATTGGGCTCAGTTTGGCAAAGGTATTTTATTTAGTCAGCAGTTATTATGATGTACAAAGAATGCGTTTTTAATTTTCCTACCGTTTATCATAGGTTGGGCTCTCAAGTAACTGCAGTCGAATTCATGCCATCGATTGGCGGAGCAGGTATCGACGCCGAAGTTAGCCAAACGTTACAAAAAATCTTAAGTAAACAGGGTGTAGGTTTCAAGTTAGGAACTAAAGTCACCGCCGCAAAAAAGACAGGCAACGAGATCGTGGTATCCGTCGAAGATGCGAAAGATCCTAGCAAAAAGGAGGATATCGTCTGCGATGTACTTTTAGTTTGCGTTGGCAGGAGGCCGTACACGTCTAATTTAGGATTGGAAGATATGGGAATTGAGAGGGACGAAAAGGGCAGGATACCCGTGAATAACAGATTCCAAACAGTGGTACCTTCGTAGGTGGAAATTATCTTAACGCGTTTCTAATCGTTTAAACAACATTCTAAGAAAGTTATTTTTAAACAGAATTTTCGCCATTGGAGATTGTATTCACGGACCGATGTTGGCTCACAAGGCAGAGGAAGAAGGTATCATTACGGTTGAAGGCATAGCTGGAGGTAATTAAAAATACGTTTGAAAATTCATTAGTTCATACCGTAACGAAAATTTTAGATTCTAATTATACATTGTCCCCGTCAAGGTGCTGTACATATCGATTATAATTGCGTACCTAGCGTAATATACACACATCCTGAAGTTGGCTGGGTGGGTAAAACGGAGGAAGATTTAAAGAAGGAAGGCATCGCCTACAAAGTTGGCAAATTCCCACATCTGGCGAATTCTAGAGCAAAAACAAATCTTGAAACAGATGGTTTCGTTAAAGTTTTAGCCGACAGTGCTACGGATAAAGTACTAGGAGTACATATGATCGGTTCGGTTGCTGGTGAACTAATCAACGAGGCTGTTCTCGCTATGGAATATGGAGCAAGCGCGGAAGACGTTTCCAGAACGTGTCATGCACATCCGGTAAACATTCGAATAAAATTTAATGGAATCTGGGATGTGAACAGTATATGTGACTTTGTTATGGTATTTTTTTTCAGACGTGCGCCGAAGCTCTGAAGGAAGCTCATTTGGCTGCGTACTTTGGAAAGCCCATTAACTTTTAAATATCATTAATAAATAAAGTGGAAAACAGCACACCCTCGACTCGTCGTAGCTTCGATCTAGTCTACGCTCCAGGTCCACATCGCGCTACGCATTTAGCGTATAGGTTTTATCATCGCTTAATCATATAAGAAAAAAAAGTTGTACATAAAAGTAAAGAATTTGCGAAAGTCTCACATCTTTTATAGTAGGTTTACCATTACTTCATGATTATTGTATTTATTATAAATAAAATTGTTAATTCATAGGAAAGCGTTTGGGAATGTAGACTGGACTTCACGAAATCTGTGATCGTCTATGCATTATTCAGCTAATCTTCGACCTAAGAAGATAAATTTTTTACGACGTCAACGTTATCGCTGTCCCTTTACCGTAAGATTTCGTAAGAATATCCAGTTCAATCGCTGTACAAGAGATAAAATTTATCGTTCACTACAATAGTAAACAATACATTGTTCTAGGCAATATAAACTTTTTTGAAAAAAATCTTGAAGTTTATGAAGACGAATAAAATGGGTCGACGAAGCGTTTATTATTCGTTCAACGAGAGACTGTTTCACGCAGTTCAGGCAGGCCCTCTATTTTTACTTCAAATTTCGCGGTCATATACATGACAGAGAAAAATAATATGAATAAAGGAAGCAAGTAATAATAGCGTAGGTCAAAGAATATATTAAACATAAATACGAGACCAGTGGATATATCGCTCCAGTGCCGTAAGGCATTTGCGCAGACGAGGTATGGGGTATCTCGTTGAACGACTAATAGGCACGTCCCTGAAGAGCACGTGACCGGCGCAGCGGTGGCGTCATTGCCGGCCGTCAGCGGAGGTTCGCGACAGCTATCGGCAACGTTGCTCGGCTTAGAGCAGAGAGAGAGAGAGCCGTGAGGGTGGCACTTGTGCGGCAAACACACCCAATGTTTGTGTTTTCGAATTTTTCGTGATACTACGAGTGGTTCGTGGCTGTTTGGCAAGGCATGTAGCCCCGTCGTCGAGCCGCTCCGAGATGTGGACAACGACGAAAACAACCAAGTACGGCGTCGGTGAGTTTTCGTAGGCGTTACTATCACGATTAACGCGCGGCATCGACCCCGCGGATCTGTCAAACACCTCGTTGCGTGTCCGCGCGATTCTAACACGAGTTCGAGAACTTGATCCTCAAGGATTCTCGTCGCTGAACGCGCGGCACACCGTGTCGACGATTGTAAATACGGTGCATCGGACACCGGAATTTTTCGTGTCAACAATTCTACCGATCGTATCGAAAGATCTTTCGGTTGCATGCTGCTTAATACGCTCGAAGCATGATGCTGGCACATCGTGGCCGTGCGGTATGCGTATCCGTGTGCCGCTATGCGTGTGCTTCGGCTCCCATTCATCCATTGATCGTGCACGAGTAGTAAGCAAAGTCCGATAAAGCGAAACAACGCCGGACTATATAAATCGCGATCTCGCTTTGGCGCTGTTCGTTACCGTATTAGTGCATGCACGCGGGGAAAAATTGTCACGCTTCGATCGTTCACCCCCTATGAATTTTCCCTCGATGTCTACGCACACCATAAGTTGTCGATTTCGAGATGGTTTTACCGGCAGTGGTGGGGGGAAACGAGAGATCGAAGTTTCGTCTCCGCGTATAGGATTCGATTGTTGCGTGTGTTATCCGATCGAGTTGTTTCACTGTCAGCTGATACTTGTGGAGCATCCTTGAATTACATCCGTTTAATTTTGTTTTGTCTGCCCGTCTGGGATGCACGTTGGTACACGGTCGCGCGATGGACTGTACTTCAACATCAATTCTCTCGTACAACAGCATCCACGACGTTTGTCACAGGCGGATGCGTTATACATCGTGAGTAGTCGAGTCGACTCTTTTTTCCTGTGAAATTGTCCTATTTCGCGGTTATATAACTTCGAACTAGACATTCTTTTATT